CCCATCTTGGTCCCATTAAAGGCAGACAGCAGCTTCCAGCAGCTCCCAGTCCAGTCCACGATGCTCTGCCCGCCCCCCCATCCTACCTCATACATCTCCCCCCACTGAGGATTGAGGTTGTTGTCCACATGATGTGAGGTGAAGCTCTGCGGTCCCACGCGAAGCACGGCGTAGGGGTCTGAGATACCCGCCGTCACCCCCTTCACGTAGCTGTCTTTGGCCGCAAGATCCTGCGCTTCCACAAGGTGGATGCGTACTACACCCTAAACAGAACCAAGATGGCGGCTTGAAGGCAAGCGGGCAAGAGCAACAATAAAGACAATGTCAACATATTTTGTTTTAGTCTAATGCAGTGTTTCCCAACCCAGTCCTCAGGGAACCCCGGACAGTCCACATTTTTGCTTCCTCTCGGCTCCCAGCGCACCTGTACCAGGTATTTGGTGTTCCTGATTGGCTGGGAGCTGGGAGGGAGCAAAAACATGGACAGTCCAGGGTTCCCCAAGGACTGGGTTGGGAAACACTGGTCTAATGGATCTAGCAGAGGTCCTCGAGCTTAGCAAGTCAACATTCTATTTATTTTGCAGATACATTTACGCAGGCAGATGTAGAACTGAGAAGGCTGGGTGAGCCAGTTCCTGGAGCAGCAGCCTTGTTCAAGAGCCCTTCAGTAACATCACTGAGTTGCCATGGGATCTGAACCGACAACCTTACGGTGGTCGGCGCAGCATTCTAAACCGCTGAGCTACACACCACAGTTAACTTAGTTTCTCAATCAAATCTGCCTGCTTGCTATGCTTCTGCAGAAACTATGGGCATGGCAGTGCATATATCGAAGGCGTTACCCTTGGAAGGGGAGATCGCAGCTGAGCGATGGGCAGGCCAGCCACCAGGGGCACTGTCAGACGGTTGGGCAGCACCAGGAACGAGGCGATGGCATCCATTATCATCTTATCCGACATGACACTACAGTGAATGATCGACACACCCATTTTAAGCTTGAATTAGAACAGTATTTGCACTGACATGCTGCTTGTACCGTACGGGAGATAATATTGATAGTAGGAGAATAACCACCCATTTAATAAAGCCATTAGCTGTACATTTTAAGTGACAACATGTCAAACAGAACCATTTGCAGCTATGTGGGAATCTGCAATGCTGCCTGAATTCTCCTTTTAAAGCGCCAAGGCATTTTTAGCTAGATAATCAAGAATTCTGAATCTAATCAGATATTGAGAAGAAAAAATTAATTCTCAGCAAGGCCAAGAGATTGTGCTGAGGCGAATTCACACCAGAGATAAATGGTAATTACAGTCCTATTGAGGACCAGCACTACAAATACTCCACTCCACTCACTTCAGCCCTGGAACGTCCAGTAGGTTCGTCAGGCCAGTCCAGTTGATGTCCAGGTTCTGGGTAAGACAGGAGCCCAGCAGAGTGCAGGGTGACTTATGGCCATATTAGAGAACATCGTGTTGGTGGATGTCGACTGACACTGTCAGCTACTTACCGGCCTTTTGATGAAGAACATGGTGACCGCAGCAGCTATGGGGACATCGCCGATCAGGGGCTCTAGGATCACCCTCATCATGCCCTTAAGCTGGCGGCGGAGAAGCAGAGAGCGTGAGCCCAGAGCCCATCGAGCCGCAATGAAGCCGTGAGCAGAAGTTTCCCCATACCTGTATCCCCTTCACTCCTGCTTTGCAGAAATACCTCTTGACTTCCACATCAATCTCGACATCTCCTACATAACTAAATGCAAAAAGGTCAATTATTATGGAAATCATGTCCAATATGATCAACATTTGCATCTGAGGCAAACTCAGTGAGAGGAGCAGACTCACTTGATATAGAGATCCAGCAGGATTTGCCCCTTGTCATTCTCTGTGTGGACCTTCACACCAACTACCTTCATAGGCTGCAGACCACCATCGCCATGGAGACAAATAAACACAGAGAACACCAATCTCACCATGCACCAGCAATTAGGCCAAAACAGGAAACCCGTAGGCCTATGTGACAAAACAGCATACCGGCGCATGACGTTACCTTGCGTCCCATGTCAATCTTGGTGAAGCTGAGAGTCTGCAGGTGAGTGCTGCTGGAACGGATGGAGGGAGCGATGCTCTCCACCAGCAGCTTCTCCAGGTACTGGCCCACAAACGGCCAGGCTTGCTGCAGGACCTGCATGGGGGGTGAAGACACGAGAGATGGAGAGGCGCCTTTGAAGCACCGTGATACAACAGACGCTGCCCCACACCGGCGTCTGGCTAGGAGGACACCCCACACGGGCGTCTGGCTAAGAGGACACCCCACACCGGCGTCTGGCTAAGAGGACACCCCACACCGGCGCCTGGCTAAGAGGACACCTGATGGACTCCTCCAGGGGACATACATCACTGACCCGGCATGAAACCTGCTCTGCACTCAGGATTGGACCAGAAATGTTTGCTTGACATTTAAATGTCAAGGATTTCTAACAACTTCCTCAAACTCTGATTATTTAAATTCCACTCATGCGCAGCATAATGAGCTTTCGATCGACGACAGACCGCATAAATCACAGTGGTCTCATCCAAAACATTATAATGGAACTTAAAAATTCCTATGACCTAGTGACATCATAACCATTATAGCATTACAATGCATTGCATTACTCGTGTTTGTGGTGATGCTGGTGTAAAAGTGTACCACCTACAATTATGTACATTACATGACACTTGATTAAGATAATAAACAACTATGTTATTGGTTTATGTGTTCACTATACCATACTTTTTAGCGTTATTTTAGAGAGTACTCTTTCTACAGTAAAAACAGTTTACTGCAGACCTAGGTTTGTGTAAGTACACTCTATGATGTTCACACAACAGCAAAATCGTTTAACAATGTATGTCTCAGCACATATCCCTGTCATGAAGCAATACAAGACTGTAGTCGGTATTATTAAATTCAGCATGCATTATGGATACAACTTTTATCCAATACCGACGATCTGGTGCCTATCCCCGGTAGCTAAATATAGTGTACACCATTGACAGGACACCAGAAGTAAGCTATTTGTTTCATACATGATTATAAGATATCAAGCAGCAATGTTAAAATACAGGTTAGCAGTATTGTAGGCTACTAGTAATGTCCAAAGTTAGGGTACTGGTTATGTCAATATGGAGGCTAGCTAGAATGGTAAAATGAAGACTAGCTGAAATGCTAAAATGGAGACTAGCTGAAATGCTAAAATGAAGACTAGCTGAAATGCTAAAATGGAGACTAGCTGAAATGCTAAAATGAAGACTAGCTGAAATGCTAAAATGAAGACTAGCTGAAATGCTAAAATGGAGACTAGCTGAAATGCTAAAACTGCCTAGTCCCCACTGGTCTGACTGCTGTAACAATTTATAACTGCTTACAACTAGGAATGCAACATTTGTGCAATCACTGCGCAACTCGACTTGGCTTATGCAAAATCAATCATGCAAAAAGGACTCGGCGCAAACAAAATAACTGTGTAGTCATGCAGACTAATGCAAGCTCTGCAGAAGAAGAAGATGATGTGGTCCTTTTTGTCTTAAGAGAAGAACAGAAACTCGTTTTGTATCGACACCTAAATGGCAGACCCACAGGTTAGGGGCAGGAAGCCATCTTGTGCTAAACCAGGCAGCAGCTCTTATGGTACAGATGAAGACTTCCTGAAAGACTCCTTGATTTAGAAAACCACAGCTGGTTAATGTTTGGCGGGCCTGAGGGGTGAGTCATAGCCCCCAGATCAAAAATAGGCAGCAGGCAACTGGCTCTTTGGAAATAACATTAGCGGCAGTCATGCAAGATCATTGTTCTTGTTTTTTAAAGTCTTATTCTCCTAACACTCAACGGCAGGCAGGCCAGCACAGATCTGTAGTTATTACTGAGACTGGGATTCACTTAAGCTAAGACATGGTTACTCTAGTTACTGCTTTAGTTCACAAAAAGAAAGACACTGGGGCAGATTTAGTCCAGAAGGAGACAGAATGTCTTTCACATACAGCAGAATCTGCAGCCTGGTGAGTTATTCCTGTGTCCCGTGGTCGTCATGGGATACCAGGGTGATAGGGGGCTGAAGATCATCAGAAGCGATACTTTTTCACCAACATTTAACTCTGTGTGTCACACAGCCACTGATCTTAAACAGAAGCACTATCTCCGGGTTTGGGTACATGGATGGGGGAATTCTGCTTACATTTAACGGCAACTGAAGGTCTGATTGGATCTGAAAATATCAACCCCTACTGTATATCAAGCCCAACCAGGGACAAGAAAGGGTTTCTGTGCCTCTGACTCGAGTGCGTATATGCATGATCTATGCACAAACTGAGCTCCTTTATTTTTGCCTGTTGCCTGGGTTTTGTTGAAAAGCGAATGAGGGTGACTGTCGTTAACCTTACTGCGGCACTGGGCAATGTTTCATGAAGGGATTGGCATTATGGCATACAGATGTCAGACAGAACAAAACAATGCAGTACCTTGTTCAGCCACTCGACTTTCTCCAAATCTGGAATATGAATCTACCAAGAAAAAAAAACAGAAATAGTAAGACAAAGTGTTACACGATTAAACTGTCACATTCTGTTGATCTGGACACACTCCCCAACCCCAAATGGGCACTGGCCAATCAGTATACTTTTAACATTATGTTTAATTATTATTAAAAACTAAATCTCCCCTCTCCCACTTACATCAGATAGTTACACCAATCAGAGATGACCTGAAAATAGTTCATACATACAAATACTGTGCGTGTGTCAGCTGACACTTAACATCAGTGTGTCCTCTGTAAGGATTGTGGGTAGAGAGATTTAGGAACACACCCTGTAATACAACAAGGTGCACGTGACAGACCCCAACAGCGCTGCCCGCACTGGCAGCTGCAAATTCCCTGAGCACGCGCCTGTAAATGCTGATGGGGTGTTAGCGTCCCTGCCTCAGGAGCGGCACGCCAGCCGGTCGTCTGTGCGGGCAGGTTGGTTTCAGAGGGAGAATGGCTGCTTTCACAATGAGTCAGCGTTAGCATCTGAGCACTCCGCAGCATGTGCTTTGTCAGACTCCTCACGGTAACAGGAGTGACAGGAGTGGCGCAAAGCAGAAGCGGTATCTCACACATAGCACCCAGCGCCGCGCTCCACGTGCTAACTGATAATGACCGTCTCGAGCAGCTCCAAAACCCTCCCTAACATACAGCCACTTTCCGTTTATTTACTCTCTTTTCCTCCACTTTGTTTGACTCCCCCCGCCCCTCCAAATTCCCCCGGAGGGTATGTATCTAGGATTGCCTAATATAGACAAAGATTTATTTAATAGGGTGTTTTTCACCCAGCCCGCTCTTGTTAGAGTATACCGGGAATATTTCAAATTTTGTCTGTCATCTGCAGCTTGCTACATTTTAATAACAAAAGTGTTTCCTTCATACTGCATAATTAATAGTTTCTATACCAGGGATGACTAATTCACGTATTAATGTTTTATATTTATTAATATATACCTGCTCGTTTGTTTAATTTTTGTCTTTTTGAGCACTAGGTTTTACAGACATGATGTTCCATACCTAGTTGATATATATTCTAGATCCTCAAAGCCTTTCACTTTTTTGTCATGGATGGTTTACAGAACTTATTCAGTTCATTTTATTTACAGTTTGCAAGCTGCGATTTAATTTAAAATTTAAATCAAAAACTACGGGAAAAACCTGAATTCACAAATCGATACACATTAACAGCTCCTTTCATTAAATAAATGACTGCAAAAATACTTTTCGTGGCAGTGCGTTTAAAAACCAAGTACTTCAATGGCAGCAGAATGATTCACCTTGGCTGGATACACAGAGCGATAACTGGACACAAAAAAACGCAGCGATGCGGCTTTGGACTCGTACCGATCCTGGGAAATGCTGCGAAGTGCGCAGGGCTTTTCCGTCCTCTGATCCCTGTCCGTCTTCCAGGGACTGCATGGCGGAGCGCAGACGAGCCTCCTTCGCATCCCGAGCATGTTTCCAGCCTGTGTAGACCGTCAGCCCAAAGACTAGCAGGCCAGTGCTTATCCTGTAATACCCAGCCAGGTACACGGGCAACAGGGCGGACAGACACCTCCCAAAGGTCCAAAGGACGGACTTAAAGTTGAACCGGCTGGCAACGGGGAGCTGCGCTCCTGCGACTTTCGTGTCGCTCTTCTCGGGCAGAACCGTGTCCGTGGACTCGGAGCCTTTACGCTCGGCCGGCCCTGCTTCCTCGCCAGGCATCGCAGTAGGTTTTTTCCTCCACCAACCTCAGCCGAAACTCTTCTCAGATAGCGGATATACCCAAAAAACACTGGGCTCCTGATTAAAATGGCATGCAGCGCAAAACGCCTGCAACTTTATAACGTGGCATAGGAGCCGAGCATACTAGGAGCGAAACAGTGGAGGACGGACGTGTGGTTCGCACTCAGAGAGTGAACATCTGCACACCTTCCCGCACTGACTCTGTCTGACTCTGTCCTGTAACGGTCCCGTTACAGGACCCCAGCGGAAACACGCCCAGCGCGTATTACTGCGTAGACTGGCACACGGTGTGCCGCCGAACAGCGGGATCTTTTCTTCCGGATCCGCGCTTTTTGGCTGCGATGACACGCCTGTTAGAAGCAGCAAAGGGCTCCAGCTCATCCGCTTTGAAGGTGTTCGCGGAGTTTTATAACAGCCGAAATACTACAAACAGTCTATTGTCGTCTTCCAGTAAGAATACTTAACAGAGATGCGCCGTACGCTGCTGCAAAGACAGAAAATCTCACTTTACCATAAAAGCAGTTAGAAAAATAATCAGAGAGGAAAACTCGGTGATGTCTGGGGAGGATTCCCGAGTCTAATAAAACGTATGTACTATGTACAGAATCCATGTTAATTTACTCTCACGTTTGAAGAACAAGTGGGTCCGATGAACAAATTTCTGTAAACTGTCTCTTTATGCGCAGTAAAGAGGGTATGTTCCCTGATTTACGATTCAGATACAGATTACTCAATTATTATAATATTGAATGGTTAATGTAAAAAATACTCTACTTGGAGAACTGTACGGAGGTTTACAGAAACAATATTTGACTTAAATATCGCTTCATAAAAAGTGAGTGTAGAAAATAATTTCTACTGGTTAGTTTAATTTCCATTGTTGATTCAATAGCAGCACTGTCACCTCTCATCTCCACGGTTGAGGGATCAGTTTCTGCCGCTGGCCACGTCTGACTCTGTCACTATTGTTTGCATGTTCTCTTCAGCAAAGGCGACTTTAAGCTTTTCTCCCAGGTGGTGAAAGGTGAGAGAGCCCAATCATTCGGTGAAACGCGGAAATACACATAAATAAAGATAAATAAATACATTTACAAAAATTATTATTGCACATTAAAATAGCTAACACAAGCCACATTTTCGAACATAGCTTTGCAATATAATTTAATTTAATTCACTTTATTATGCGTATCAAATAGCATTTCATATGTCCGGTAAAATCGTCCATGCTCTTCAGGTTAATGCATGTTTTCTACCACAGTCTTACCACAAACATGTAGTTAATAGTCACGTGGACGAGTCTGCTCTTTAAATGGACGGTAAGAGCCGGCTAGTGGGTGTAAGCCACTGTGGTTATATCGACATGACTGCACAAGGACAGCATGATGAGTGCATGACCAAAACATAGCAGCATTTGGACACATTTTAACAACTTTGGCAATGCAAAAGCTGAGTACAGAATTTGAAGTCTAAAATTTTACATCGAGGAGGGTCAACTCATAATCTCCATATACAATCAGCAATGGCGCATTCAACAGTACTGTTAACATTCACAAGCTGGGGGGGGCGGGGCTGCAGCCACGAAACATGACGAATTAGCTGCTGCCTCCACGTTATCAGGCTCATCACAGATCTCACAACTTTCCAGAGGCAGTTTATCTCAGAGCTATGACCCACCGCAAGACAGAAGATGATTAATGAGATATTGGCAAAAACTATGGCCAACGACCTGCAGCCATTCTCAATAGCAGAGGACAAGGGATTTAGGAAATATTGCCATGCTCTAAATTCACTGCCCGTCTTGCCAATCCGGAAAACCGTCTCAGCAACATCCATTCCAGGAATTTATGGTGAAGCAGGGTCTTCACCGTGAGAAAGGGATGAAAACGTGTCTGTGGTTTGCCTGACAATAGACTGCTAGCCATCCAAAACCACCATCTAATTTATATCAGTTACTTGCCACTTCAATGAACAATACAAAAGGTTGATGACGAAGTGACTTGTTGAGTTAGTGATAATGCAGCAAATATAATCAAAGCTATCCAGACATTGAAGTGGACTTATCATTCATGTCTAGCTCACACAATCAACTTGATTGTGAAAGATGTCCTAACAGACCACTGTGGAGAAAGTGAAGGCCATTGTGGGATTCTTCCACAGGAGCACTATAGCTGCAGAAAAGCTTATGTCTGCACAACAGCAGAGGGGTTTGCCACCCCCGAGACCCAAACAAGACTGTGTGACATTTGGGAATCGACGGATGCAATCAAACCGTCAACCTTCCAATCAAAGGCTTATCCCACTGATCCACACACTGCCCCCTACTGGTAGAAGAAGAATAGGATGTAGTGCAGGAAGGATGCACTGTTCTGGAACCCTTTAAGCAAGTGACTATGGAAATCAGAAATGTATGCTGGTGGTATGATGATGACAGTATAGTAAAATAATACAGTGATTTATTCCATTGATCAAGAAGCCTAGTGAACTCTCTTACAGGATTGAATCATCATATAAATTATCTTATAAAAATAATCTTACTCATATGATAGCATTAAAGATGCTTCTCCTCTGTGAGGATTTACAGGGAGTTACAGCAAACCAGCCACGAGGAGCAACAGCAAGAACAAATCAAGTTAAGCAGCTAGTGGACACTGTCAGTGCGTTCATGGATGGCCATTTCCACAGGATGGAATATAATCAGTGCTCTGGGAGAGGATTGCTGACCCTCTGAGCTGGTCGAAGGGCAAGGCCGTAGTCTACCCCCGATTACTGAGGTTACAAAAGCAAGATTGTGTGTAGCTGCAACCTTAGTCCCATCTGAGAGTGTCTGCTCCAAGACCAGACAAATTTTCAGAGAGAAGAAGCCGACTCAGAAAAGTGAGGCAATTTGTTTTTCTCATTTCAAATCTGCCTTAAATATTAATGTTTATTAATATTTGAAATTGTTATACTGTATACTTTTGATAGTAAAGAACGCAGATCCTTGGGTTTTCAAATGAAGAAATTTTAATTCCTGACAGTACATATGTAAATGTTTTCCTAATGAAAGTAATGCAAGACACAGCTTTAAGGAAGATGATGCTGAGAATGAATTCATTTTGCAAATGTAACCCATGTGTCACTCAAAGAGTCATTGCAGAGCTGAAAGAGACGGCTCATTTAATGAGCCTAGCGCCTGGAGAAGGGCCAGAATCCCCATTACTAGTAGTTAAGTGAAGTACTCTCTATATTGCTGGTGTGTGGACATGTGCCTTATGGTCTCATTCCCAGTGGGAAGGGAGGTGTACCATGTACTAGGATTGTTTGTGGCTCAGTGATTCAGGTCTGTTTCAGTTATTGGAAGGTCATCAGGTCAAATCCCAGGGCTGGCAGACTGATGCTATTTTGGGGCCCCTGAGAGGAGCCTTAACCCCCAAATGGTCCAGGGATGCTGCCCATTGGCTGACCTTGCTCACCTCGGTGTGCGTCGCATGGAGAGCAAGACTGGATCAGCACAAAGAGAATTTCCCCAAAAGGATCAATAAAGCACCATTATTCTATTATATGCAGGGTGTCTGCTGTCCTTTGCTCTCGGGGGTAAAAAGCACTAGGCTGCCTATGACACTGCATTTAATAAGCAGAAGGAAACTGAGTTTTATTAAAAGGAGACTGAATATCAAGCACTGTCCTGAAAATATCCATTAAAATAATAAACTAGTTTAGGCTGTTTTGTCAGGTAGTAATTTATACTGGCTTACTTTCAAAATCAGGTTGGGGGGGGGGGGGTTTAGTTGTCATTGTTGACACACCACAGCACACAACGAAATGTGTCCTCTGCATTTAACCCATTCGTGACATTGTGACATAGCGGGGGGCAGGTAATTCAGCGGCCGGGGAGCAGTGCTTGGGGGCGGCACCATGCTCAGGGTACTTCAGTGGTACTTTGCTTGTTGGGGATTCAAACCAGCAAATAAACCTAAATATTCATCCATCCATTTTCTGCTGCTTTTCCGGGGTCGGTGGCTGCAGTCTAAGCAGGGATGCCCAGACCTCCCTCTCACCAGCCACCTCCTGCAGCTCCCCCAGAGGAATACCAAGGCGTTCCCAAGCCAGCCAACAGATATAATCTCTCCACCATGTCCTGGGTCTGCCCCAGGGCCTCCTCCCGGCTGGACAGGCCCCAAACACCTCCCCAGGGAGCCGTCCAAGAGGCATCCTAGACAAGGAGCAGCGGCTCTACTTCGAGCCCCTCCAGAATGTCTGAGCTCCTCACTCCATCTCTAAGGCTGAGCCCAGACACCCTGCGGAGGAAGCTCATTTCAGCCGCGTGTATCCACGACCTCACTCTTTTGGTCACCCCTTCAGGGGCAGCTGTGGGGGTGCAATATAAATTGGTGGCAAGTTGAAGGCAGGGGCCCCTGTGAGCAGATCGTCAGCTACCAAAACTTGCAGCATTCAAATATTCACTACTAAAAAATCTGATTCCCTTTGGGTTTTTGTTGCAACTCATTACCTTGATTTTAAAATACTGAGTTACAAATACTACTGCATGCTCAGCATCACCCCACGTAAACCGGAATAAACAGACTTTAAAGGTTCTTCAGGAGTTAGTTTTAAAATATGTATCACATCAAGCTTTTAAATCAGGGAGATCGTCAAGCTATGCATAAACAGACAAACATTTGTTGATTGAGAAAAAAGATAACTGGCTTAAGAGACATTTTATTTTTTTAAATGCCACATTCGTGGTAAAATTTGCCCTTTGATCAAAATGTCTATCAGAATAAGCCAAGACACTGACCCCTGCCATAACTGTATCCTCTGCAAGGCTAAAAAATAACTGTCACTTAACACGGTATCAGAAACATTTGAGCTTAAATTTGTTTTAACAGGCAGAATATGTCTGTGCGTGCAGAGGATTCCTGTGTAAATGGATTAGTGACAGGCTGCTGTGCAGGGGGCAACTGTGCATAAAGGAGTGAAAGAAACAGCAGGTTTAAGTATGAAAAACTCATGTTTTCAAGAAATACAGTAGCCTCACAATAGAGACTTTTCATCAACTTATTGCCACATGACAAAAGTCTGTAGATCTTTTTATACATCATTGGGTAAAACTGAACCTGCTACCAAACAATATCAATATCAGCAAGCAAGAATGTCCATGTGGTTATTTTGCGTCTGTGCAAAACTCCGTGTTTTAGAGCAAATCAAAAATAAAACGAAACAATATTAAAACAAAAAAATAATAAAAGGCTCAATCACTCGGTGAACCTCTACTCCCCGTCTACTTTTTGTGTAAATCTCTCTTTCAATCGCTGTTTTGGTGCTTCCGGGAAAAGTGCCACTGGTCCAGAATCCCTT